ACTGCTGCTACTATTACTACTGCTGCTACTACTACTGCTACTACTACCACTGCTACTACTGCTTCTACCACTACTATTACTACTGCTACTACTGCTTCTACCTCTACTATTACTACTGCTACTACTGCTTCTACTACTACTGCTGCTGCTAATACTACTACTATTACTGCTGCTACTACTACTACTGCTACTACTGCTTCTACCACTACTACTACTACTGCTACTACTGCTTCTACTACTACTACTACTGTTGCTGCTGCTAATACTACTACTACTACTACTACTGCTGCTGCTACTACTACTGCTACTACTACCACTGCTACTACTGCTTCTACTACTACTACTGCTGCTGCTGCTACTACTACTACTACTACTAATACTACTACTACTAATACTACTACTACTACTACTACTACTACTACTACTACTGGTGCTGCTGTTGCGACAGTTTTTGTTGATCGTCATTAAAATTCGTTTTTGTAATCTTTTTTAGATTCTTTGATATTTCATTTTCTCCTTGTATGACGTCAAACATGCAATGTTTACACATATAACAAAACACATATTGTGTATATGTGTATGTGTGCATGTATGCGTGTGTATGTGTGTACGTGCCTGTGTGTGTGTGTGTGCGTGTCTGTGTATGTTAGTTGAGTGTTGTATGGATGGGTACGATGATGAAACGTTATATGACAGATTCGGGATTGAACTATTATTCATCAATATTTATTCTCTGTACTTATGTATACACGTATGTTTGTATGTATGTTTGTATGTATGAATGTATGCATGTTTGTATGTATATATGTACAAATGCACGTGCGCATATATGTACGTGTGTGCGCGCATATGTATGTCCGTCTGTATGTTTGAACGGCGAATGCATTAAATTTTAAAAGTAAGAAACATTCCATCATCACCATCACATCAAAATCATCATCATCATCATCATCACATTAGGATCATCATCATTATCATCACATCAGGATCATCATAATAATCACATTGGGATCATCATCATAATCATCATCTTCTTCACATCCTCATCATCATCCTCATCATCATCCTCATCATCATCCTCATCATCATCTTCATCCTTATCATCATCATCTTCTTCTTCATCATCATCATCATCATCATCCTCATCATCATTATCATCTTTATCCTTATCATCATCATCTTCATCATCATCATCATCATCAACACCATTCCTTTTCGCACGCTGTTGAAATTTGCATGGAGACAAACATTTACATCCCGACATGCGCAAACACTGGAGATGGAAGTGCAGAGGAGATGGGCAGGTGTGCATGCGTCGTGTGTGCTTGCGTGTGTGCGTGCGTGTTCGTGCGTGTGCGTGTATAGTTAGATGTGGTGTGTATTCATTGTTCTCATTCATATTTGCATATTTCTCCATTCTTAGCTACCTACAGATACATATTAATATATACTCTTAGATTCTTTCATACGCAACGACATACATACATGCGTACGAACATACAAACAAACAAACATACATAAATACGAACATACATACGAAACGAAATTTTATTTGCTTCTCAAAATTGAGAAATCAGGATGACCAAATCATGATGAAGAAAGCAGGATGACCATAATAGAATTTATACAAAATTCATCTAGTATGGCCACCTAACCAAAAATGTCCTAAGTTCAAACAAAATGAATACATGCATACGAACACACATACATGCATACAAACATACATACCTACAAACATATATACACATACACACAACATGTGCACATGGGTTTCATTTATAATATTTCATTGACTCTTCCTTGGATGCTTTGGGAAATGTATGCATTATTCAAATACACGGATACCTACCTACCTATATACACACATACATACATACACACACATACATACATACACACATACAAACACACACACACACTGCATGCGTTAAAAGACGATCCTTTTTCTTAGTCAGTTACATCATGTAATGTAATTTTCACTATTCTATTTCACTTCTATATTTAAATCTACTTTATATATATATATATATATATATATATAAAGAGAGAGAGAGAGAGAGAGAGAAAGAGAGAAAGAGAGAGAGAGAAAAGAGAGAAAGGAAAACATAGAAAGAGAGAGAGAGAGAGAAAAGAGAGAAAGGAAAAAATAGAAAGAGAGAGAGAGAAAGAGAGAGAAAGAAAGAGACATAATCGTGTGTATATACATACATATATATATAAGAGTAACATACATACAACCCCATATAAATGTGGATAATTTTTTGAGATGAGTTGTAATCAATTTCTGCCGTTGCTGGCGTGAAGCGCTATATAAATTATTGAAATTTTTTTTTTCGAAAATTTTCTTTTCTTTGCACAGTTGCGTTCTCGCGTCAAAAAATTTATTTCCACCGCTATTATTTTTATGATATTTTTGATCTTCTTCAAACTTATTCTACGAAATGATAGCATAGCGAGCATTATTCAAAACAGAAAGACACAAAGATACAACACACACACACACACATATATATACATACACTCAAACACACACAGATACATACATGCAAACATACACATACATACAAACACACACACACACACATACAAATACCTCAAAAGTGCGTGGTTAATACTTGATAACAATGCAAACCAGCAATGAACTGAGTTGCGGTGATTTAGATGGCTGTGATTTTTTCTTTCACTGAATAATGTATGAGGCAACTTGTTTAAAATAGATAAATACAACGGACAAAAAGATGTTTAAAAGTGAATCTTTTGTATGCGTGTATGTGTGTGTACGTATATTATACAAAACATGTATATCTGGTATATGTATGTATGTATGTATGTATGTATACATCTATGTGTATACGTATGTACGTATGAATAGGTATATATATGTGTGTGTGTGTGAGTGTGTGTGTGTGTGTATGTGTGTGTGTATGTGTGTGAAATTTCTACCGCAAAACCCATCTATAAATCCATATGCGTAGTTTCTGCTAGGTTGATAAGGTAGAATTAATTTTCACTTGGATTTTTCGAAGTTTTTCTAAAAGGAGTGTCGATATATCAGGTGATCTTTGTATAGTTTTGTTTTGTATTGTATCTTTTTGTATTGTATTGTAACTTTTTGTATTTTATTGTATCGTTTTGTACTGTATTGTATCTTTTTGTATTATATAGTTTTGTATTGTATAGTTTTGTATTATATCTTTTTGTATTGTATTGTATAGTTTTGTAAGGTATTGTTTTTATAGGTATTTTATTGTATTGTTCTGTATATAAAGCATGATATTGTGTTGGATATACAGAATATTTTTGTAGTTTATATATCTTGTTGTATGTGTATGGTTTTTTTGTATTGTATATAGTTCAATGTATAAATTATATTGTATATATTGTATTGTATATATTGTATTGTATTTTATATATTGTATGGTATTTTGTAAACGGTGTTCCATTGTTTTGTGTTCTACGTTATGGCTTATTGTTTTGGTTTTCCATAATAATTCTATTATTAATAATAATAATAATTATTATCTATTATTATTGTTATTATTATTATTGTTATTATTATATTTTATTATTTCGGCATCACATAGAAACAAAAAGGTTTTTGGCAGTCTCACTGAGAAAAAAATTTTTTCTTCGTCGCTCTCTTTTGAAATGTATAATTCCGAATTATAATAATAAAAAATAATAACATAAACCAAAACATGCGAAAAACAAAATGGCGGAGATACAAAACAAAAGCAAGATGGTGGAAATACAAAACAAAAACAAGATGGCGAACCGCAATTTTTTGCATGTCAGAAATGAGTATTTATCATGTGCAGCAATTGAAAAAAGGGAAAAATTGAATGGCAACGAAAGCCTTTTTTGTTTTTTTTTATTTTTTTTAAATAAAAACAATAAACAAAACCAAAAAAGGAACGAAAACCAAAAACAAACAAAACAAACAACAAACAAACAAAACCGAAACAGAGTAAACAATGGATACTCACGGGCATACATGCAACTTAAATACATACATATAAACAAACAACCATATAAAAACATACAAACAAACCAACATATATACAGACAAATTTACAATATAATGTACAATCAAACAAACAAACAGACATTCAACCATGTTTACTAAAAGTACACCCACAAACTCTGAGAAAAAAAATAATTTTTTTTTCAACGTACTAAGAATAGAATACAAAAATTTAGAAAAATGTAAAATAACAACAATAATAATTACAATTTTATCTTGCGATGGTAACACAGCAGCACTGAATAAACTAAACAAACAACATCTTAGCGAGTTGTTGATGTTGACGATGACGTCATTGTTGTTGTTGTTGTTGTTGTTGCTTTTGTTGATGTTGTTGATGATGATAATTCAACAATTTCAATTCATTTACGTTTTATTCTAATTTATTTGCATCAATTTCAATAAAACCAGTCGCTCAATTTTTTTCTTCAAAAACATGTTTGGTGAAAAAATTACGGAAAGCCGATAATAGTTTTCAATAATTAGTTTGGCAAGCGAGAGAGCGTGACCTCTCATACAAATAACAACATAGTGTGTACATTTTCTGTACACTAAGCGAACGTACATACATAAACAAACGTATACAGACAAACATACATACTAACAAACAAACATACATACAAACAAACAAACATATATACAAACAAACAAACATATATACAAACAAACGAACGAACATACCATGTTTAACAGACAATATTAAATGACATGGGTCCCCACATAAAATGCTTATAAAATGCGAAAACAATCATTTCATAGAAAGTCATTTCGTTATCGGTTGTAAAGCTTTACTTAAACTTTAGCCAAGGCTTACATATTTTATTTCTACCTACCTAAACTAATAAAAAGTTAGGAAGTAAGAAAAGATGAGAACAAGAAACATAACTGCTTATAGATGCTCGTTTGTATTGCACGTATGTATGTATGTATGTATGTAAGTATGTATGTAAGTATGTAAGTATGTATGTAAGTGTACCCCACCGACTCCAATCCAACCAACAGACCTTTCCCAGGGCAACATTTTGGAGGAAGCATATAAACGCACATTCAAAGAGTTGCTTTCCTCAAGCCCTGACTCGGCGACCTCAGCCCGCTTGCTGGCAGTTTCCAGCGAGGCGAGTTGCGGCTGGCTGAGATCTTTGCCCAATACGTCGGTGGGTACCAGATTGGACGACGAAACGGTCAGGACAGCCATTGGCTTCCGTCTGGGGTTGGCCGTTCAGAGTCGATATACATGCAGGTGCGGCGCGGAGGCGGATGAACTTGGCCATCATGGTCTTGTTTGTCGTTTGGGCGGAGGTCGCCAGCAGCGACATTCAGCTATAAACGATTTTGTGTGCCGACTTTTCTCCAAGGCCTCAATTTCGGTTTTAAAGGAACCGTCGGGCATTGCGGCGCACGATGGTAAGCGCCCTGACGGGTGTACCTTGATCCCTTGGAGAGCCGGCAGGTGCTTGGCGTGGGACGTTACCGTTCCGGGCGCCTTTGCTGAGCGCTACGTGCAGCTTACTAGCAAAGAAAGCGGTTTGGCTGCAACCAGGGCATCTGACGAGAAGATCAAAAAGTACGACGGAGCTCTCCCCTCGATGGAGTTTTTACCGATTTGTATCGAGGTCCTCGGCCCCATGGACCGTATTACCTCCGGGTTTTTCAATCGGATTTGTAAAAATATCAGTATTAGGTCAGGCGATAGTAGGGAATATTTTTTGCTATGAATAATATCTCGTGCATTCTGCAGCGGTTTTTGCGTGTCCGTGTGTTGGAAAATGTGGAGTTGAATGCCGACGAGGTTGAGTGACGTTATAGCAAATAAAATCAAATTTAGTCAGACGCTTGGCTTTTGGTGTCATTCGTCAATGATTTGGTTTTAACACTTACATGTATGTATGTATGTATGTATGTATGTATGTATGTATGTATGTATGTATGTATGTATGTGTGTGTTGTGATTTATACTGAAGAAATAGAAGCACTTATTTGAACGGCATTTGGTGAGAAGCCCCCACGCCGCGTCAAGGCAGCCGTTCATGAGGGAGTTAATAATAAAACGACAGTGCCTAGAAATAATAAGTAACGAATTTTAGAAATAATAAATCACTTTAATAAACTTAACTAAAATACAATGAAAAAAATATTGTGTTGAACGTTGTGTTTGATTGTTGTTGTTGGTGTTGTGTTGAACAAAAAAACAATACAACACAAATAGACTAGAAAGAAAGAATGAAAGGATAGAGTTCCTAACTTACCTATGTTCACTAAATTAACTCACCTACCTATGTTCAATTAGCTCAACTTACGAATTAATCCTACCTATTTGTACAATTACGAAGGAAAAAGTAAGAAAAAAAGGATAAAACATCTAGCAAACAACGAATGTTTATCTGTATGTATGTATGTGTGTATGTGCAAAGTCTATAAAATGAAATAAACGAATAAATCTAAAAATAATAAATAACGAATAAACAAATAATTCTAGAAATAATAAATATGAAAATAAAATAAAGAAATAAAAAAATGAGACCGGACGCTAAGGGAATGCCCTAAAGCGCTGGTCTGATTTCAACGTGTTTTCGGCTTCTATTTATACCAGTTCCATTCATATATTCTTATCTTTTCAATCATTGACATCAATAAAAAACTTTATTTAAAGTATATGAAACATTATTATAGTTGCTTAACAACAATATATTAACTATACTAGAATGAATTCAACGGACTCCTACTGACTTCCTGATGGGTTGGTTCTGAAATTTGTATACGTTTAGCTAGTTGGATTTAAAATTTAATCGAGATCACTCCTTTTTCACATAACGATTGAAAAATGAAATGTGTATTTCTTTTATTTCATTTCTTTTATATATTATACTTACAATCAATTCAATCATTCATAACAGTATAAAGTTTATTGATTTAATGTTATTTATTTTTGATTGTGCCAAACAACATTCTTCCCAATAGAGCTACTCAAACTTCGAAACATTCTGATTGATTGACTGGTTGGAACTGCTGTATTTCTTTTCCTCTAAACATATAATCTTATTAATTATCTGTATACATGGATTCTAAATACTTTATATATATATTTGTTATATAACTTCCTTATAAAACCAACAGTAATCAATGTTACATGTGTATGTACATATGTATGTACACTCGCGGTTCAAACTATTCCGAGAGAATTCATAATAATTTGACACCACACACCTTTCTTCACTTTAATTGTATAATTTAAATGTATAAATATAAAAATATAAATATATTTATTAACTACACATATCTATCTATCTGATTATTTATTTAGTTTGGTTGTTTGGTTGGTAGATCGGTTGTTTGGTTGGTTGATTGTTTGGTTGGCAGTTTGCTGTTGTTGTTATTAATGTTGTTGTTGTTTTTTGTGTTGTTGATATGGTTGTTATTGTTGCAAAACAAAAATAAGCATAAACCGATCAAACACTTGTGAGATTTCAGTGAATAAAAAATACCACATAGAAGCCTGTCAGATTTAAACTAATTCATCATCGTCGTCATCACCATCGTCGTCATCATCGTCGTCATCATCACAATTGTCACAAACAACAACAGCGTCATCATCATAATCATTACACACGCACGCACGCACGCACACACACGTATAAATGAAAAATAAAATTCATCCAACTAATGTTTTTTGATGATTCATCCATCCATCCATTAACCATCCATCCATTCATTCGTTCATTCATTCATTTATTCGTTCGTTCGTTCATTCATTAATTCATTCATTCATCCATTCATTCAAAAAATAAACAATACTTTACAAGAAGAACTGCTGACGAAAGCCTACTAGTATATATTTTCAGTTATTCATTCAAGCTATAATTTCAATATTGAATGTATACGTCCCAACCGGATACAACATTTTTTTTGTTGACAACTTTTTAAATTATCGACGTAACGAAATGTTTTTTTCGGAGTTTAATAAAATGATAATTTCTCTGAACAATGAAAAAAGATTTATTAAAATAGGATTGCTACTTTGATGCGAAATCGTTGGCGGAAATGACGTCATTGTAATAGTAAAAAATGTTTACATGTGCGATACTGAATTAGCCCGTTATACACTATATATATTCAATTCCTATAAAAAAAATTTACCAAACATCATATGCACATAAAAATAAATAAATAAATAATTATAAAATATATTTATACTTATAAATTCAAATTATACAATTAAATTAAGTAAGGTGTGTGGTGTCAAAATATTGTGTATTTGTACGGCGCGCGTACATACGTAAAACTGATTACTGTTGGTTTTATAATGAAGTTATATAATAAATATAGATATAAAGTATCTAGAATCTGTTGGTCGAAGTCAATCTAGTATGAGAAGCTCTGCCGTCAAGAATTTTATTAGTGTATGTCACAACCAAGAATCACTAACATTAAATCAATACAATTTATACTGATGTGAATGATTGAATTATTTAATATTTAAAGTATAGAGTATAATATATAAAAGAAGTGAAATAAAATTATACAAATATAAAAATTTTATTTTATTTCATAATATTTAATTTTACTGAACAACGTAATCGAGATCACCCCTTTTCCACTAAACCTGCACTCGGAAGTCAGTAGGCGTCCGTTGAATTCATTCTAGTATATAGTTAATATATTGTTGTTAAGCACATATAATAATGTTTCCTATACATTAAATACAGTTTTTTATTGATGTCAATGATTGAAATGATAAGAATATATGAATGGAACTGGTATAAATAGGAGCCGAAAACGCTTTAGGGTCTCATTTTTTTATGTCATTATTTTATTTTCTTATTTATTAATTCTAGAAATATTCGTTTATTCGTTATTTATTATTTCTAGAATTATTCGTTTATTCGTTACTTAATATTTCTAGAATTATTCGTTAATTATTATTTCTAGAATTATTCGTTTATTCGTTTATTAATTCTAGAATTATTCGTTTATTTGTTATTTGTTATTTCTAGGATTATTCGTTTATTTCATTTTATAGACTTTGCACACGCACACACACACATGCATACATACAAACATACATTCGTTGTTTTGTTTGCTAGATGTTTTATCCTCTTTTTCTTACTTTTTCCTTCGTAATTGTACAAATAGGTAGGATTAATTCGTAAGTTGAGCTAGTTGAACATAGGTAGGTGAGTTAATTTAGTGAACATAGGTAAGTTAGGAACTCTATTCTTTCTTTCTTACCTTCTAGTTTATTTGTATTGTATTGTGTTTTTTTTGTTTTTTGTTCAACACAACACCAACAACAGCAACCAATCACAACAATCAACACGATATTGTTTTCGTTGTATTTTGTTAAGTTTCGTTACTTATTATTTTTAGAATTATTCGTTTATTCGTTATTTATTTTTTTTGGATTTATTCGTTTATTTCATTTTATAGGGTTTGCACATACACACACACACACATACATGCATACATACAAACATACATTCGTTGTTTTGTTTGCTAGATGTTTTATCCTCTTTTTCTTACTTTTTCCTTCGTAATTGTACAAATAGGTAGGTTTAATTCGTAAGTTGAGCTAATTGAACATAGGTGAGATAATTTAGTGAACATAGGTAAGTTAGGAACTCTATTCTTTCTTTCTTACCTAGTTTATTTGTATTGTTTTGTGTTTGTTTTTTGTTCAACACAACACCAACAACAGCAACCAAACACAACAATCAACACGATATTATTTTCGTTGTATTTTAGTTAAGTTTTGTTATTTATTATTTCTGGAATTATTCGTTTATTCGTTACTTATTATTTTTAGAATTAATCGTTAATTATTATTTCTAGAACTATTCGTTTATTCGTTATTTATTATTTCTAGAATTATTCGTTTATTTCATTTTATAGAGTTTGCACACACACACACACACACACACTGTTTTGTTTGCTAGATGTTTTATCCTCTTTTTCTTACTTTTTCGCTCGGGGGCTTCTCACTAAATGCCGTTCGTGAGATGCGCTTTTTCAGTTTAAAAATTTTTTTTATTCGAGTTCTATAAAAATTCAAGCGTACACACATGCAGAAACTACAAACACATACATACTTAAGTTAAAAACATACATACACACGTACGTACATACAAACAAACACATATATTTGCATGCATGTATTAGCAGTTACATTGTTGTGATTTGTTTATTCTTAAATTTTCCTACATTGGTAATATAAAATCACAAATATAAAGTGTAAAATGAGCTGTGTTAACAAGCAATTGGTGAGCTAGGGGTTGAGTTTGTTGAACGTAGGTAGGTGAGATCTGAGTTAGTTGAACATAGGCAAGCCGTGACTGGAATTAAATTAAAGTTTAGAAAAAAAAATTGACAATAGGTAGGTAACTTTGTATCGTCTCCTTTTCATGTTTAGCGATTGTTCTTGATTTTTGCGCGCAAACACACAATACGCATACAATACAAAAAACGAACATGATACAAACATGATACAAACATGATACAAACCTAATACAAACCTAATACAAACCTGATACAAACATTCCGATTCCGTTCCAATGCTCGCCTCTACCGTACTGTCTTTCTGGCGGGAAGGTTCTAGTGCAAGTGTAGAATAGCATGCAAGCAGCTCAGCGTTTGACAGAGTTGCATTATTATTGAGATTAAAAGTAATGTATCGAAGTGTATTTTATTCAAAATATTTACTCAAAAGATAGATTTAAATCAAGTTTTATATTTACATCAACAACATCAACAACAACATCAACAAAACCAACAACACCAACAACAACATCAACAACAACATCAACA